TTGATCGAACTGTGCATCAAAGAAGCTGACAACAACGTCAAGCTTATCGTCCTTGACCGAGTCGATCAGCTACGAATCCGCAACGAAGGTGTCCTTGATGACCTTACAATGGAAATTCTCCGCGTCCTCTCTTCTCCGGATATCGACGTTCGTCGGAAAGCCCTCGGCATTGCCTTGGAGATGGTCTCGAGCAAGAATGTCGAAGAGATTGTCATGCTGCTCAAGAAGGAACTGGCCAAGACTGTTGATGAACAATATGAAAAGGTAGGCTTGCACAGTTTGCCCCTGATATACAGATATACTAACAACCTTGTAGAACAGCGAATATCGTCAATTGTTGATCCAGTCGATACATAACTGCGCCATCAAGTTCTCGGAGATCGCAGCTAGTGTTGTCGATCTTCTCATGGACTTCATCGCTGATTTCAACAACAACTCCGCCGTTGATGTGATCTCATTCGTCAAGGAAGTCGTGGAGAAGTTCCCCGCGCTCAGAACCTCTATTGTTGATCGCCTGGTTTCTACTTTGAGCGAAGTCCGTGCCGGCAAGGTCTACCGGGGTGTCCTGTGGGTTGTCGGAGAATATTCTCTGGAGGAGAGGGATATCCGCGAAGCCTGGAAACGGATCAGGGCCAGTCTCGGCGAAATCCCCATCCTTGCCTCGGAACAGCGACTTCTTGATGAAGTCCCTGAGGATGCGGCCCTCAAGGAGCAGGTTAACGGCCACTCCAAGCCGTCAGCCCCGACCGGATCACGGAAGGTGCTGGCCGACGGCACCTATGCCACCGAGAGTGCTCTGACCAGCCAGTCTGCTGCGGCTGCTCGGCTTGAGGCTGTCAAGGCCGCCCAGAAGCCCCCTCTTCGTCAACTGATCCTGGATGGCGACTACTACCTTGCTACTGTGCTTTCGTCCACCCTTACTAAGTTGGTGATGCGCCATTCGGAGGTCTCCGAAGATGTTGCTCGGACCAACGCCCTGCGTGCAGAGGCTATGCTCATCATGATCTCCATCATCCGAGTGGGCCAGTCGCACTTCGTCAAGGCTCCCATCGACGAAGACTCCGTGGACCGCGTCATGTGCTGTGTGCGCTCGCTTGCAGAGTTCTCTCAGAAGAAGGAATTGGAAACTACCTTCCTGGAAGACACCCGGAAAGCCTTCCGCGCCATGGTTCAAGTAGAAGACAAGAAGAGGGCCGCTAAGGAGGCCGTTGAGAAGGCGAAGACTGCCGTCCAAGTTGACGATGCCATCCCCATCCGGCAATTCACCAAGAAGGCAGCTCTTGAAGGTGCTGAGGAGATCGAGCTGGATCTGGCCAAGGCCACTGGCGGTGACTCAACTGTGGAGACGGTGTCCTCGAAACTGAGCCGCGTTGTGCAACTCACTGGTTTCTCAGACCCGGTATACGCCGAGGCTTATGTCACGGTTCACCAGTTCGATATCGTCCTGGATGTCCTCCTGGTCAACCAGACCCTTGAGACCCTGCAGAACCTGAGTGTTGAGTTTGCGACTCTCGGAGACCTCAAGGTGGTGGAGCGGCCCACAACGCACAACCTTGGACCTCGCGATTTCTTGAATGTGCAGGCTACAGTCAAGGTGTCGTCGACGGACACGGGTGTGATTTTCGGTAACATTGTGTACGACGGAGCGAGCTCGACGGAGTCGCATGTTGTTATCCTGAATGACATCCATGCCGACATCATGGACTACATCCAGCCGGCACACTGCACCGAGACGCAGTTCCGGACGATGTGGACCGAGTTTGAATGGGAGAACAAGGTCAACATCAACTCCAAGGCGAAGAACCTCCGCGAGTTCCTCAAGCAGCTGATGGACAGCACCAACATGGCATGCCTGACGCCTGAGGCGTCTCTCAAGGGCGACTGTCGATTCCTGAGTGCCAATCTATATGCCCGGAGCGTATTTGGTAAGTAACAGATCTCCCCACCGCGAGATTCATTCCATCCCCGCCTTCTGGATAGCCGCTAACTTGACTGTCACAGGTGAGGATGCCCTTGCGAACTTGAGCATCGAGAAGGAGGGAGAGGACGGGCCGATCACCGGCTTTGTGCGGATAAGAAGCCGTTCTCAGGGTCTGGCCTTGAGCCTGGGGTCTTTGAAGGGCCTTAAGGCGTCTACAGCATGAATAGAGAATCCCCTTTGAGCCATATTTGAATAGCCACTACCCTTGTTCCCTACTACATGACTCTTCTGTTCGATTTTTCAACTGCGCTTTTTTTTTATTTAACTCTTCTGTGTTCTTCTTAATGGACGAATTTGTTGACTATATGCACCTTTTACTCTGTTTATTCTGGATGAGAAAAGACTTTTATCTCTCAATGGAATGCCCCATTTGAACGACTTTATTTTATTTTTATTGTATGTATGTGTGTATGTATGTACCACCATGGCCAGCTATTGTCACAGCAGTAGGATGTTTCTTGGATGCCGTCATGGACTTGCCCAAGCTCATCTGTACCACGTTGATTAAGCACGATGCATCCCATCCCCGCACCCCCGCAGGTGATGCCTCGGAGTGTGGCTGCAACTGCCCGATTCCAATGACACGGAGGGCATTATTCCGAGCAACATCGGCTTTGTTCGAAAGAATGCATAAGGGTAGCGAAGGTCCTTCGAAAGGTCATTTCATTGCGTCTTGATCATCCTATCAGACCACCCAACAGTGTAAATATGGGCGCGGAAGGGCTGCGCGCATTCCCAGATAAGGATGGATGGTTGCGGCGATCTCGGCAGTGCATGCAGTGGCAAGTTCCCCAGGAATGACCGGAAACCCACCAGATCCAGGCATGCATCATGTATGGCCCGGACTCAAAAAGAAAGGTGTTCCTGTCATGGCATGATGAGGGTACGAGTCTTATCTGAAAGCCTATCAATTTACAGGGCAGACAAGTGGAGTGGAAAAAAGTGGAGCCCGCCATAAAAGTTGGACTGCCGATATTCGATTATTGAATGATGAATGGATGGTTCAGTGGTTCTCCGAGTCTCCGGTCTCTCTCCGCTCCATCCTGAGACTTGCCCGTTTCATTCCCCCAACACCTTCTTCCTTCTCTTCGTCTCAAACTCTTTCGTTCCCTTTGTCTTTCTCTTATTCTTATGGTTAGTATTCTTACTGACCACATTCACTTCTACGCATCTATCTTTTCTCATTTCCAAATACGGTCGGCTCTTCACATCCACGCTGTGCCCTGCGCCGGGCACTATGACCACCTCCAACGGGCCTCCTCGCCCGTCGTTTAACAACGCGGATCATCCGGAAACTCGGGATCAGCTGCTTGAACATGATGCGACGCTGATAGTCTCCAACTCGGTCTCTCTCACCCTAGGAGGCGACTCTCTTTTGATTGTCGGTAAGTCTCTTTGCGCAATTTCCCTTCTCGAGAATATTCACCAAATTCCCGTGTTAACGAGATACTGGCATTCGCGCAGATGAGCGTTCCATGCGCAAATCCGAGCGTGGGTGTTGCGGCATCGCCAGCAAAACAGCCAAACCCACTCACTCCATTGCGCTATACAATGTCTTGGACGCCGACCTGTCGCCCGAGGGCCTTACTATCACCTATGCGGAGCCGGCCTCTAAAGAGGATGTTTCTGTGTCCGCCCTGCGATACCCGTTCGCGCCCGAAGAAAAGGCGGCGGTAGAATCCTGGACGAACAAACTCTTATCCGTTGCGTATGGTACCGCCAAACAGTACAAGAGACTCAAGGTTCTGGTCAACCCGTTCGGCGGTCAAGGCCACGCGGTCAAATTGTACTCCTCGTATGCAGCTCCTGTCTTTGCTGCAGCCCGCTGCCAGGTGGACGTGCAGGAAACGACGCATGGAGGCCACGCCGTTGAAATTGTGGAGCAACTGGATGTCAATGCGTATGATGCGATCATTTGCTGCTCCGGCGATGGTTTGCCTTACGAGGTTTTTAACGGTCTGGCGAAGAAACCTAATGCCGGTGAAGCTTTAGCTAAAGTGGCCGTGGCAATGGTGCCTTGCGGGTCCGGAAACGCAATGGCATGGAATCTTTGCGGAACGGGCAGTGTCTCAGTGGCGGCTTTGGCCATTGTAAAGGGTGTCCGAACCCCTATGGATCTGGTTTCCATCACGCAGGGAAAGACTCGCACGCTGTCCTTCTTGTCACAGTCTTTCGGTATCATCGCGGAATCCGACCTCGGTACAGATGATATCCGATGGATGGGTGCTCACCGCTTCACCTACGGATTTCTCAAGCGTATCATGCGCCGCGCAGTGTATCCGTGCGATCTGGCAGTCAAGGTCGTAATGGATGATAAACAAGCGATTAAAGATCACTACAGTGCTTACGCGCAGAGCCAGCCGCCTAGTCGTCCGGACGAGGGTACTACAGAACAGCCGGACGGGCTTCCCGAGCTCGTGTACGGCACCGTGTTGGACGAGCTGCCCAAGGACTGGGAAGTTATTCCAGCCGAGAATCTTGGCAATTTCTATGCGGGCAAGATGGCCATCGTGTCCAAGGATACAAACTTCTTCCCTGCCTCTCTGCCCAACGATGGCCTGGTGGATATCGTCACCATCGATGGGACTCTCAGTCGCCTGACCACGCTTAAAATGATGACCGCCATTCCCGAAGGCGATTTCTTCGATATGCCCGACGTCAAAATCCGCAAGGCTCTTGCGTATCGGCTTGTTCCCCACGAAAAGGAGGGCTACATCAGCGTTGACGGAGAGAGCATACCTTTTGAAGCTTTCCAAGTGGAAATCCACAAGGGCTTGGGCACTGTCCTCTCGAGGTCGGGTCACCTATACGAAGCCGAAGGACCGAAACCTTAGACGTTGGAGATGATACAAGCGTAAAAGTAGCGGATGGTACTTTGGATGTCGTCGTTCTATATTCTTCATTCTGGTCTTCGCACTCTGATGATACCCTGGCGCAAGACTTTTTGTTTTGGCTTGCTTTACTGTCGTTTCAATTGGATTGTGCTTTCTGTATACTAGACAGCAGTGCACCAAGATGGCGCATAGAGTCACTATATAAATATACATTGTTTCAATCACATGATGTAGTAGAGCTAGCCGACTTAATCCAGGCCAGCCAATAAACACAGCATGCGCACGCTGCCATCCAATTCACAATCTATACACTTTTGATCAAACAGAAAAATTGCAAGAGCCATTAGAATTTATAGACAAATATCAACAGCTCAGTCAAACCCATCCCACTCCTCATCACTACTCTCCTCCACCACCTTCCTCTCCTTTACCCCCCACTCAACCAACCGCTCATCATCCAGCGTCTCCGCAGCCCGAGTCCGCACAGGCTTATACCCACTCTCCGCCTTCAACTTCTCAATCGGCCTCAACAAAAGCTCCATCGGCACTCCGCCCTTGACCTTCTTCTTCGGTTGCCCCTCTTCCTCTCCCTCCTCGAACTCCAATACTTTCTCCAACTCATCGATCCAGATATCCATCACATGGTACCGCAATCCGTCCGGTCCATGCGGCATGGGCACGTAATCTTCCTTCTCGTTCATGGGCGGTTGATCCGGGTCAAAGTTCAGAGGGCACAAGGGTCCTTCTTCGATAATGGTGATGTAGGATTCGAGGGCGGACCAGTCTTTTTCTTCTCCGGTGGTTGTTGATGATGTGGATTCTTCTTGTTGGGTTTGTTTCTTGTTCTTGTTGTTCTTCTTATTCCGCTTTGACGATGTAGGCTCTTCTTCTCTTTTGCGCTTGCCGCCGTTTGTGGATGTGGTGGTGGAGGTGGAGGATTGCTGGGGCTTGAGGAACACCTCGAATGCAACGCCCACGTAGCAACGGATCAGGAATAGATACTTGTCTAGACGGAGACGGTCGAGTGAGTGGAAGTCCCGTCCAATGGTTATCCAGAAGGCGCGGAGGAAGCGATGCAGCGTGCTTCGGGGGAGCGTCGGGACCAGGCTGTAGCTGAGAGTGCGGGCGAGTGCTTGTTGCGTTAGGGGACGGTCGGAGTGGTAGAAGCCTGGTTAAATACATGATTAGTTGGTGTTTGTGGCGGTGTGATATTTGGGGAAGAGATGTAGCGTACAGAAGAATAGACCCTTCCATAGTTTGAGGAGGTCGATGAGGGAGAGGTCGGTTTTGGAGCGGAGGAAGAGTGAGAGAGAGTCGGTGGCTTTGTCGCGGATTTTCTTCTCTGTAGTTTTACTTCGTTAGATTTGGTTTTCTGGACGTACGAATTGGACGGATGGGTGAGGTATGTACCGCTCGAGGCGAGATCCCGTACGAAGGGAGTCTTGGTCACGTCGGACATGGTTGTGGTTGTTGGTGGTGGTTCCAGGTCAGGAATAGATTGTTCGAGTGCGGTTGCTAGGAAAAATGGGCCCTTGGGCTTGTGATGTTCGCGGGAGCGAGGCGATTGATGTGCCTGCGCTTTCCAGAGCGTAAGATTCCTTGGTGGTCTCTGGACAATGGTGGTTTGGGGAAGTCCTTGGGATTGATGAAGCTATTCGTGACTTTTTTTTTTCTTTTTTGGAGATATTTTCTGTTTGCATTGTTTGATTTACAGTGTGATTTGGTTGGTTGGTTGTTTTTGGATGCCGGTTGCGGTGGGGCTGGTGTGGGGAAGGCGATGGACTAATGTTGATCGGGTTAGCATTTTAGTTACTATCTACAGATCACGATGGCTTTGGAGTGATGTATATCTATGACCAAAGTATGGAGGGATGTAATGGATAGAGTACTACTTGTAAGAAGGCATTTTAACTGCAGAGTATATGGCTCTTGCTGGGTTGACCAGCGTTCCTGCCTATCTCTGTATCATAACGATGTTCGCACTTTCCGTTTATCAATCCTGAGAGGAAAGCCCAGCTTTCTCTCTCTCGTCTTCTTCTCTCCCTTCCCTTTCTCATCTCCTCTTCTCCTTCAATCCGACACCTCAACTCGACACTCCAACAAGCTGTTAGCACGCACAGCCCGATCATCAGTCATCTGAGGGGTTTGGTCTAGTCCGCAAGTCATAGTTTCGACTTGCTACAGAACCACCACCACTAGCATCAACAACAGCATCATCGTCACACCACCACAACAGCCACAGCCATCCTCATCATCATCATCATTAACAACAACAGCAACAACAGCCGCGACAACAAAAACACAAGCTTGGTGACTCATCTACTACTAGTGCGTTTCTGGTAGTCTCTGAAGCTTCAGAGGTCATCCACCTATGGCTATTGTCTAGCGAGATAGACACTGACGAGACTTCCGTCACTAGATAGATGCAGCCTGGCCAATCAACCATTTCTATCTGGGACCGCAGCTTTGGAACGTCTTGCTGCTGCGCAGTGCATACCATTATGGTTGCAAACGCATCAGTAATGAGTGGGCTGGACTGGGTCTGAGCTCGTCCCTCCCCTCAGGCGGTCCTTGATAGCGCCAAAACCATTTCCAGGAGGCGCCGGCCTTGCTGGGTAACTCAAAGCCTGTCCAGCCCTTACGGACATTAGCTACGGCTTGAGCCAGCTCTGTGGTTAGGCGCCTCTCGTAGATATTGGTAGCTTGGATTGGTTGTAGCTTTACTAAGGTCGATAGCTTAGATAGGCCGATGAAGCTACGCAGCATAGTGGAGGCACCAGAACGATGGTCGGGCACCTTTACGCGGTGTTCTGGATAAGTAGGCCGGTCCGAAAGAACCTGTTGAAACTAAGACCCGACCACAAGTACGTTTATGTATTCAGTTGGTAATACAATGCTGATTATTCGGTGCTCGCCTATCCCAGTAGCTTCTAGCCTTTCAGTGGGTGATCATTAAAGTATTATCAACCCCAGACCTGCAGTAGTCTAGAACCCTGCATCTTAGAATGTGCTGCCCGACATTTAAGATTTGAGCCTCTCGGCTTATTATTCAACGTACAGTTACTGTGCATGAACTCCTGGTACAACGAGAGTGCCCGATGCAAACCCAATGCGCGGAGAACTAAGAAAAACCACGCATTCCGCATCCGGATGGTCAATATCCCAGCCCCTCCAGGGACGGAACCACAACTCTTAACTTCCAATTAGCAGCTCTTGCAGTTTGTCCATTGCTCTTGTTTGTTCCACCGATCGAATCAAGTGCTCCGTCTCGTAGCATTATTGGAAACCACTGGCTCCTCGGGTCTCCCGTCGTTACACGGAAGGTTGCGGGTGACATCATCACTTGCAACGTGCACAAATGACAACATCAAGCGTCCTGAATCTTATTTGCGTCCCCAAACTCTTTGTCAGTGAATGATGTCGGCAAAGCGAAGATCCGTCTCCAATTGAGGAAAATCGGCCATGGTAGGAAGGCACGCGTTACCCAGATCCTGACAGGCTATTCGCTACAAGGATTTCCTGAAATCCTTCATCACCCCTCTGGTGCTCTTTGGACCAATTCTTCTTCACCCGCTTCTATTTTATTTCATCTTCTAGGGTGAGCTCTACCATTGTTTCCCGCTCTAGCCTGTCGTCAAAGATGGCACAGCTTGAGAAGCCCGACGAGAGCTCGCAGCCCAGCTCCTCCAAGCAAGAGGAATTGGCCTCTGGGCCGAGCAATTCTCAAATACCGCCGAGGCTGACGCGCAATGAAAGCTCTTTCATGGAGAACATGGACCCTGAGCAAAAGGCTGAGTTGACCCGCTTGGCTTCCAACTTCCCAAGGCGCCAGAGCACTCTCGACTCAACTGTCGATGGACCGGTTGAACGAAAGGACACCCTCGAAGGACTGGAAATGGGCGATCCAGTTCTTGATCCCACAAATGACCAATTTGATCACTATAAATGGGTTCGCATGGTGCTGAAGATGTTGGATAGGGAGGGGATCCCTCGACCTCCTTCGACTGGTGTCGTCTTTCAACATCTCAACGTCTCGGGCTCGGGTTCCGCCCTGCAATACCAGAACAACGTGTCTTCGATTCTTCTAGCCCCTTTCAGACCACAGGAGTACCTGCCTTGTATTCAGCGCACTCCAGAGAAGCATATCCTGCGTGACTTTGATGGTCTCCTCAGAAGTGGTGAGCTCCTGATCGTTCTGGGACGCCCCGGGAGTGGCTGTTCGACTTTCTTGAAGTCCTTGTGTGGGGAACTTCATGGTCTGAAGCTGCGCAAGAGCTCTGAAATCCAGTTCAATGGTATCTCCATGGAGAAGATGCACAAAGAGTTCAAGGGTGAGGTGCTATACAATCAGGAGGTGGATAAGCATTTCCCGCATCTCACTGTTGGCCAAACGTTGGAATTTGCCGCCGCTGCGAGAGCGCCCGAGACCCGATTGCAAGGCGTCACTCGACAGCAATATGCTAAATACGTTACCCAGGTTGCGCTGACTATCTTTGGCCTGTCACATACGTATAACACAAAGGGTGCGTCTCTGATGTCAATTTTCAGCCGTTGAATGTTTCTTGTGTTCCTAATCCTGCCTCCAGTTGGCGACGACTATATCAGGGGTGTATCAGGAGGTGAAAGAAAGCGAGTCAGGTATGTTTGATCCCGGGTTTGCCTTATCAGATCGCCCTAACTTGTCTGCAGTATTGCTGAAATGGCGCGTAAGTTATCATACCACTTCAAGTGTATAGCTAGCAGTTGAATTGACATGATCCAGTCTCCGGAGCACCAGTTGGAGCGTGGGATAATAGTACTAGAGGGCTTGACTCTGCAAGTGCGCTGGAATTTGTCAAAGCTTTACGAGTTTCATCCAACTTGGCCGGCACCTGCCATGCAGTCGCTATTTATCAAGCATCTCAAGCAATCTACGATGTCTTTGACAAGGCAATCGTTCTGTATGAGGGTCGTGAAATCTACTTCGGGCCATGCGACGAGGCAAAAGAATACTTCGAGGGCATGGGGTGGCTTTGTCCGCCGCGTCAGACCACTGGTGATTTCCTGACATCAGTCACCAACCCTCAAGAGCGTCAAGCACGTGAAGGAATGGAGAACAAGGTTCCCCGAACACCAGATGACTTTGAAAAGTACTGGAAGAACAGCCCTCAGTATGCCAGGCTTCAACAGGAAATCGAACAGCATATGAAGGAGTTTCCATTAGGTGGAAAGCATGAGCAACAGTTTGGTGAAATGAAGCGCCTGAAACAAGCGCGACATGTTTGGCCAAAGAGTCCCTATATAATTTCGATCCCCATGCAGGTTAAGCTTTGTACCATTAGGGCATATCAAAGGTAATTGCTGCTAATCATTGTATATCTCTATGACAAATGCTGATTTTTCTAGGATATGGAATGATAAACCTTCTACATTGACGAACGTCATTGGCAGAATCGCAATGTCCCTCATCATTGGCTCAATGTATTTTGGGTAGGTATCTTATTTACTGCAGTTCGAACGTGCACTAAGACGTACAGGACGCCAAATGCCACCGTGGGCTTTCAAAGCAAAGGAGCTGCTCTTTTTTTCGCTGTGTTGTAAGTTGTCCTCTAAAGAGTGGGCATGTTGCAAGCATAAATGGGAGAATGGGATGTGCTGACTGCGTTTCTCAGGATGAACGCTCTCATAAGCATAACAGAGATAAACTCACTTTATGACCAACGGCCAATCATTGAAAAACAAGCATCATACGCTTTTGTCCATCCTTTTGCTGAAGCCTTTGGTGGCATTGTGTCCGATATACCCGTCAAATTCGTCTCTGCTGTGGTGTTCAACATCATCTTTTATTTTCTAGCTGGCTTGGTAAGTAAATGCAATAACTCAGGTACTCCGTGTGTACCTCAATTGACCGTGAAAATAGCGCTACGAACCATCACAGTTCTTCATATTCTTCCTATTCACTTTTCTGAGCACGCTTGCGATGTCTGGCATCTTCCGGACCCTTGCAGCCTCGACGAAGACACTTGCACAAGCAATGGCTATGGCTGGTGTCATTGTATTGGCCATCGTCATCTACACCGGCTTTGTAATTCCTACACCTCAAATGTCTTCTATTCCATGGTTCAGTTGGATTCGATGGATCAACCCCGTCTTTTATACCTTCGAGGCTCTAGTTGCCAACGAATTCCACGGCCGACGGTTCACATGCTCACAGTTCATACCATCATATCCGACTCTGAGTGGTGACTCTTTTATCTGCTCCATTCGTGGGAGTGTCGCTGGTGAAAGGACTGTCTCTGGAGATGCTTACATCGAAACCCAGTATAGCTATACGTATGCACATGTATGGAGAAACCTCGGGATCCTCATAGGGTTCTGGATCTTTTTCACGGTGATATACTTGGTTGCGACGGAGCTCAACTCTGCAACTTCGTCTAAAGCTGAGTTCCTCGTATTCCGGCGAGGCCATGTCCCTCCTCACATGCGCGGCCTCGACAAAAAGCCCCAGGGAGATGCCGGAACCAGTAATGTTGCCGTGGCCCACAGATCTGCCGAATCAGAGAAGGATGCGTCTGCTCTCCCCAAACAGCATAGTATATTCACGTGGCGAAACGTTTGCTACGATATACCAGTCAAGGGAGGCCAACGGCGTCTTCTGGACAATGTCTCCGGATGGGTCAAGCCTGGAACACTCACGGCCCTTATGGGTGTCTCAGGTGCTGGAAAAACCACCTTGCTTGATGTTCTAGCAAAACGTGTTTCAATAGGCGTTGTGACAGGCGACATGCTGGTAGATGGAAAGCCGCTTGACAGCAGCTTCCAAAGGAAGACGGGGTATGTACAGCAGCAGGATCTGCATCTTTCTACAACAACTGTGAGAGAAGCTCTGCGGTTCAGCGCACTTCTACGCCAACCTAAGTCGGTTTCCAAGAAAGAAAAGTACAAGCACGTTGAGGAGGTTATTGAAATGCTTAATATGCAGGATTTTGCTAGTGCTATTGTTGGAACACCTGGTGAAGGTCTAAATGTTGAGCAGAGGAAGTTACTGACAATCGGTGTGGAGCTTGCCGCTAAGCCTGCGTTACTTATCTTCCTTGATGAGCCAACTAGTGGGTTGGATTCACAAAGCTCTTGGGCTATTTGTGCTTTCCTCAGGAAGCTCGCAAACCATGGCCAAGCAGTGCTCTCGACGATTCACCAACCCAGTGCGCTTTTGTTTCAGCAGTTTGATCGCCTTCTCTTCCTAGCAAAAGGGGGGCGGACGGTCTACTTTGGAGATATAGGAGAGCAATCACAGACCTTACTGACATATTTCGAGTCAAATGGTGCAAGGCCATGTGGGCCGTCAGAAAATGTAAGTACTTTAAATGATCGTGTGAGGTCTTATGCTGACCAGGAAAGCCCGCCGAATATATGCTGGAGATTATAGGTGCCGGCGCCTCTGGAAGAGCTACCAAGGACTGGCCAGCTGTTTGGAACGATAGCCAACAGGCTACTGATATTCAGAAAGAAATTGATCGAATCCACCAAGAGAGAGCCTCTGCTTCCGAAACTGGCAATGATGATGCACAGAAAGGAGAATACGCCATGCCTTTTCCCAACCAGCTGTGGCACGTAACCCATCGTGTCTTCCAACAGTATTGGCGTGAACCTTCCTACGTATGGGCCAAGCTTATTCTGGCTACCGCTGCCTCCTTGTTCATCGGATTCACATTTTTCAAGCCCGATAACAACATGCAAGGGTTTCAAGATGTCCTGTTCAGCGCCTTCATGCTCACTTCGATTTTCTCAACTCTGGTGCAGCAGTAGGTACATCGCCCTACTTCCTTCGACAACAAGCTAACGGGGTTTCAGGATAATGCCAAAGTTTGTGGTTCAGCGATCACTCTACGAGGTACGAGAGAGACCCTCCAAAGCGTATTCATGGGCAGCATTCCTTGTCGCCAACGTTCTGGTTGAGATACCCTACCAAATTCTCGCCGGAGTCATTGCCTACGCGTGCTACTACTATCCAATCTACGGAGCCAATCAGGCGTCTCACCGACAAGGGCTCATGTTACTCTTCGTCGTACAATTCTACATGTTCACCTCAACGTTTGCCGCTTTAGTAATTTCCGCGCTGCCCGATGCCGAAACAGGAGGTTCCATCGCCACGCTCATGTTCATCATGGCTTTGACGTTCAATGGTGTTATGCAGCCACCCCAAGCACTGCCAGGATTTTGGATCTTCATGTACCGGGTCTCTCCGCTAACCTACCTGATTGCGGGTATCACGGCAACGGGGTTACACGGACGGACAATTCAATGTTCCAGCGAGGAGATGAGCGTGTTCAATCCTCCCTCTGGTCAAACCTGCGGCCAGTACATGGCTCAGTACTTGCAAACTGCTGCGGGGCGACTGTCTAACCCAACAGCGACGCAAGGATGCCAATACTGTCAGATGCAGAATGCCGATCAATACCTAGCAACAAGTGAAATCTGTAGGTTCATATATCCCAAACTCCGCTTTACCTTCCACACATGCTGACGAATCTGAAGACTACAGCCAGCGCTGGCGGAACTTTGGAATCGGATGGGCATACGTGGGGTTCAACATCCTGGGTACGGTCGCCTTGTACTACATGTTCCGAGTCAAGCACTACAACCCCACTAGCCTGGTCAGAGGTGTGGTACAGGGCGCAAGGGTGGTCTGCCGCGTGTTCAAGAGACGATCCGGACAAACGCCCAAGGGAAGAGAAGCCGAGAACGGGAAATTGTTCTAGGCTTCTAGAAGAAATAGGCATGATTTACATGCTGCGGGATTTTACGGTTAGATTTTATTGTCAGCATTCTACTGATTGTTTGTTTCAGCATGGTATATGCTTGTCATGGACATAAAACACATCTGTTAAGTATACTTTTGCACGTATGTGCTAACTGACTAGTCATCTTAATGGGAAATTCAACATGTGATCCTGTCCCTGATAGAGCACAATACAGAAAAATAAAACAAGCAGCGAATCAGATAACGCAGTGGTCCGCCGCCCAAGCATCATTGGTCTAGTGGTAGAATTCATCGTTGCCATCGATGAGGCCCGTGTTCGATTCACGGATGATGCACAACAATTTCTTTTTTCTTTTTACACCCCTTTCTAGTAGTACCTTTTCCTCAAGTTCATTTTCCTTTTCTTTTTTCGTCTTTTTCTTCAATAATGATATATTTTAAACTACGGTTCTGATTCCGTCTGTAAGTTGATATGTTTAGGACTCGTCGGCAATCCGTGTTTTAGTGGGTGAGAGAGCACAGCACATTAATATATATAATCATCAAACCGATGCTCACCAACTGCCAAAGCTGACGGATTAGGTCATCTAGTATAGTTACACTAGGATGAATAGTACATAGTACTACCAGCGGAGACCATGGAACTAAATCGACTACTGCAAGCTACGAATCAAGTACCTTGAGGAAGGATGATAGACGGGAGGATATAGCATACTACTACTACTACTACTACTACTACTACTACTACTACTACTACTATCACAGAGTATTTAGTTTAGGATTCAGTATTAAGATAATAGTTATGAGTGTTAAATAGCTATGTAATTGTTAATTAAGGTGATAAGTACTAGACAAGAAAGAACATTCCATCATGAAGAAGAAAAGCTATGGATCAAACAAACAACTAAACAAACAAACAAACACTAATTGGGGTATTGTGCGGAACCAGACAAATGGGACATGAACGTGAAAACCGACTTAATTGCAGTAATGCCTTGGCACCTGAGTATGGGGAAGCATAGATTAGGCTTGCGCGGGGAGAAAAAGTAGGTATGCCAAATCGATGGCAATGCTGTCGTGAAATAAGTAAGTAGGGGGGTATCGAGGTATTATCATCATTATTTGGAATGTTAATCAGTCGGACGAGGTATGGTGTGTTGTAGTGTGCGGTGTTGTGTTGTTTATTCGTGCAAGATCAGACCGTATATCAAAGGGTGGATTAGGTGGATCGGTCTCTGCAGGTAGTTCATGCACGCAGGCTGTTAGAGTGCATGTGAGCTATCGCAGCCACGAAACTGTCATGACACCGATTGTCGCGGGACAACGAGGGCGCTAATAACGTGGGCGGGATTCCACCCTTGGTCGACTAGGGGCACATGTTCTTTGAGCATTCTGCCTAGGTAGACAAGCCTCACACGGTGAGTGCGCGGAATCTATACAACCACGGCTTCTGTTAGACTGCATGTCCAAATTTTGTTTCAAAGGAGGGTGGATAAAGCATAGCGCAAGCTGACGTACCCCTGCCTCTTGTTGCACTTTGCGGGCTATCGAGCCGACGTTCATCGTCTTCACCACTGACAGGATGATATCGGGACCGCCTCTATCGCTCAATCGCGCACGGATGCGGATTAGATCACGCTCGCTAGTCTTGCCCTTTTCATCGCGACGACGTTCTATGTCATCGGCTATTAACTCATCCCCTGAGGCTTCGTCTGAAGATAGCTTGCCGTCGTCCGTATCGAAGTCATCCGGCTCCTGGTCGGATCGCACGATATTCTCTGGGTCGCTCACAATGCACTGTGGTAGCCGGTAGAGTACACCCTGCTCGTCGTAGCAGCCTTGGCAGAGATCACCGGTGGGGACGGTGATGCCGGCTGCATCAATGAAACTTTGCGCTGTTGCGAGATCACCGGCGCGCATCAAAGAGATAGCCGCAGACAAAGCCGCCCAGATCTCCGAACGACCCGTGACCCTAGTTTCGAAGAACTCGGTGCGCTCCTGGTCTAATTGTGTGCGGGTCCATAGGCGCCGTTTGCTATACCAGACGTGACGACGGATAGGCGCATTGTAATGCTGGTTCAGCGGGAAGTGCTCTGCCCTGATTCGGGATCCGCGCGCCCTGGCAGATGAGTTGCCGGAGGTGAGCGCATTGCTTGTTGCGGCGGCTTGGGGATGAATGTCTTCGGAACGGCGCTCTTCGGTGACTACCTGTGCCGCGTAGGAAGGACGGCTATAATCGCGCGATAAGGAAAAGCAACAACCCTATGGATTTTCATATACAGTGAGAATTTTGGAAACCCATAATTCCATGTACATGAACTAGATGGAAGAGAGAGAAGAGGGGCGGTTGCAGGGCATGGACCTTTTGAGATAACGGATAGCAGGACGGGATGGCATGCGACTCCGCATCGGGGGAATGTAGTTATAGGGTGTGGACATAGAGACTCCAAGGAAACAGAGGGGTAGTTGGAAGACTCACCATGTTGAAGAAACAAGCTCAAGCTCCATCAGCCAAAGATAACCGGTCGCCAGAACCGACGGGGGTTCAGTGGTCAGTGAGAGTCACTGCAGGGACGCAGTTGGAGATGACCAAATGAGGAGGGGGAGGGCGTGGAGGAGGGGGGGCGTGGAAGAAGTGGTTCACGATGCCGGCGGGAGAGAGCTTATTAGACAGGCTTAGTCTAATGAGCCGTTCCTATCATGGATCGAGAATCCTCCCATCCAGTTATCGTAATCGGTCGTATGACCCGAAGCGGTGGAAACCCAGTGGTGAATGGGTGGCGGGCGATGCGGAGAGTTGCAGCGCAATGGCCTGACCAGCCACAATGCAGAGAGAGAGAGAGGCACAGAGAGGGAGAGAGTGTGTATGGAAGAGAAGGAAATACGGTGACAACGATTGAGGAGAGAAAAGCAATAGATGAGCACTGCTGATCGACCAGGTTGAGGTAAATAAAAGGAACCAACCAGCGGGGGAAGAAGAGGAGGATATGACGATGACGGCGCACCGACGTGAGGGGATTAGCCCAAGGTTGACTGGAGGTTCGCCGTCCCCTTCTTCGTGTAAAGCAAAGTAAGAGAACTTTAAGTGCGGAGCCTAGAGCTGATATTGCCAACCGATCACTCGCTCCGCAACGTTTCCTGCGGTGTCACCCTATGCAGGTCTTGTCCAGACCGTTCTTTTGCGAGTTGGAGAGTTAGAGAGGGAGAGATGGCGAGTTGGGGGGAAGTTGCAAAGGCGGCTTTCTCTTCCGGCTTCACTGTATCGGATGTCACAGTTCAAGTCTCTCTCCACTGGCAAAGATTGAATAGAAAAGAGAAGAGACAGGGAAAAGAAATAAACAATTATTCTACTCTGATTGAAAGATACTGCATATTTATTTTTCTTTTTCTTATGCATCCACTGTCAGGTGGATCTCCTTTTTCTTCTTTTATTTTATCGACCAAAGAAAACTTTAAGCGGTCGGGTACGTGGAAGAAGTGGGACTTTGCAAACATCCCCAGACGATCATTACGTTTCAAAGTCAATATTGGCTTTGCCTGCAGGGAATACGAAGACAGGGTGTCTATCTATCGGTACAAGTTTGAATCCTCCAATATATCAATCAGCTCATTTCCTCATCCTCGTCTTCATCATCGCTGCCAAAGATCGCCTTGAACACCGCCTCGCCCGGCCGCTCGGCTTCTAGAGCTTCGTTGCGCTCTGGCTCGACCACCACTGGTGCCCGACTCCCCGCTGGCCCTGATGACGTCGGCGAGGCCGCGTCTGCAGCTGCCAGAGATCCACCGCCAGCCTCAAGCATGAGCTGGTTCATAACATCCCGCGAAACTAACTCTTTCGGCCCGGAAGCGGTCTGGTAACCTGCCGATTGGAACCGGCTCCCGGGGGCTGAGGCTTCAGCGCGTCCCGATGGCGCACCAGGATCCATTTGGACATGCTCGGGGGGCCGAACATTGAATCGTTTGCACAAGAGACGCGTCGGGTAGAAAGAGATGCTACTACGAGTCATTGGGCCAAACATGCCAATCTTCGCTGCCTCCACTGCAGGGTCCTCTGGTTTTGCTGCGGGCTTGCTAAGCAACGGCTCCGCCGAAGGAGATCCGTCAGACTTGTCGGACGACTCTTTGGGTCCGGAACTGGCAGAGGTGAATCGCGATGCCATGAGCCCAGACATCGGCTTGAAGACCTCCGCCGCTCGCGCAAATTCGTGTAGTTCCGCAGCCCATTCATCTGTAGTTGATCCGGCAACCCGGTCCGGGAGACTGTCTCGGAGTCCAGCTCGTACTTGGAGGAATGTTCGATAGCGGTCCCGTTTGCTTAGGTCTTCCGAATACGGCATCCAACCACTGGCTGCTCGTGTGAGTGCCTGGACGGCTACCTGCTTGTCCAATTTAGGTACGAGATCCCATAAATCCTTGCGCTTCTCCGCTTCTGAGACCTCGTAACCTTTAGGGGCTTTTTCACCAAGCGCCGGCGGCAGATCGGTCTTCCCTGTAAGCTTCACGATTCTTTCCCGAGCCTCGGGAGTCATCCAATCGAATATGGACTTTCCGGGAAGTTGTGCTTCTCCCAAGAGAGCGGCTCTTGCGGTAGGATCCATTGACGAAGCTTTAGCTGCCTCAGCCGTAGAAACGTAGTTTGAGACATCCCTTTCCTGTGTCGGTGCTTTGCGGGATTTCCAATCCTTGGGGATTTCTGGTGGCGCATACTTCTTCTCTTGCGAGGATATTGAGAGGCTTGAAATGCCCTCCGCAAGCAAGAATCCTTCCAAAGGTAAACGACCATCAGAACACTTTCGAAAACCGGCGGCACCCTTGGCGGCAATGACCCTCTTCGGTATGTATACGGGTTTGTTGCTGAGAAGCGGGTTTGACGAACTGGGGAGGGTTCTCGCATCCTCAGCAGGCTTTGCTTTCTTCTTCTTCTTTTTGTCCCCTCCAATGACTCGGTTGTAAGATATCTGTGGGCCTAAGGAATAGGGATCCTCGTCATCCGAGCCAGTATCATTCAACACGCCGACACCAAACGCCCCGCGTCGAGGTCCTTTCGCTTTGGGCTGCTTCGGCTTCCCCGGAGCCATTAGCCGCTTTCCGAAGAACGCATCATTATCCTCGTCGTCGGACTCGTTTGCTTTGGTTTGCTGGGCGTCTAGACGGGCCTCTCCTTCATATCCAAGGCCCTTATGATCGGTCTTATGGATGAAGGCAACCATTGGCGGGTTTTCGGGCGCGAACAGGTATGTTTGTTCAGCTCCTCCGTCACGTTGCAACATACCGTCCCCGAGGTCAGCTCTACGTCGCACCTTGGGCCCAATCCCCTGGCCTTCTCGCCACCCCATCCTCTTCAGAAGTTTCACCCCCATAGTTTCTCCGCTCGTTTTCAGGAGGTCCATCAACCCTCCGCGGCGCGCCAATTCGGCATCTGTAGAACCAAAGCCGGAGTACTCATCGGCAGTTTGGAGTCTCTTGGACTCTTCTGCTTCCCGAACATCCTCCTCATCCATGAAGTCTTCTGGTCGTTGCTGTCGAACATCCTTGGCGCGGTTCTGGCGCGAAGACACAAAGGTTGCTGGAGTCCATCCTTCCTTCGACCCGACGGTGTTGAAGTACCTGAAGATGGGCCGCCTTTAGTGTGCTGTCCAACGCTATTCATGAATCGTGAGCTCACCCGGCACTGAACCCACCGGTGAAGGCACCATGTAGGCGTTTCCTTCCCCGGTCATCGGTCACCTCCTGCTTCCAGATGGGCGCATATGATCCGTCGTCTCGCACGCTATCGTCTAGTGGGGGTAATGGAGTTCCGTATAATGCGTAAGGAGACTGGCGCGCCTGCAGGTCTGCCTCAAAGGCGGCGCGGTTCCTTTTACTGGCCATGATGGAGGTGCAGCTCAAGGGTGCAGCATGGCTGTTTCCGACGTTGACATACCGTCAGTGTCTGTAGTGTAGATCCTACGCGGATGAAGTGGACTTACCACTACTAGTATAGAAATTACCCACCAGGTGAATCAATGAAAGAGAACTAAGTTTGGTGGATTGGGAGGAAGAGGGAACGAAACAGATGAGGATGATGATGATGAACGATGCATGGTTAGAGGCCGCGGGCGGAAGACATGTGACAAGGCGGACATGGGATTGGCGTGTGCACCGCCACGTTTTTGTGTGGCTGAAAACAGTAACTGCAGTAGCTCAAAGTACTAGAACCTGGCCGGATTTCTTGTGTATATAGATCAAACTCGATTCATTATTGCTGTGAATCATGGGATGTGTCGATAGTTTTGGGAAAGATGGGAGTTTTGGGCTACGTTTGTTGGTCTTTTGTTCAGCTGGACAATTCATAGTAAGAGGCGCCAACAATACTATATACTCCGTACTAGACTGGCTGTTCTCAGATTAACCGCGAGATCATGAATGATGGCCACGGGGGCGGATGACAGATCCAACATGAGCATCCGGAAACAGAACGAGCATCTGATGTCCACTTCTGCGACCGAACGTGCTTGGCAGATAATCTGGGCTCATCCGACCAACTTAATTTGGACCGTCCAGCAGGAAATGGTCAGGACCCAGAATGATGATGATGAGTCTCTCGGCCAGCTGATCATGCCCATCCGTGCCCAAAACACCGAAAGTCCGACGTATCCATTGGTCTCGTTCCACCGGCGGTCGGAGCAGAAGCAGTTGGCAGGGTCCTTGATCCAACCTGTAGGGGTGAGTGAGATTGAGGAGGGGAACTACTAGACTATTGCCTGGGAGGCAACCACTATGTGATTCAATATAGTAACCTCGGTTTGGAAACGTGCATGCAGCTGTCTAATTTCTACCGGGATGGGGGAAAGAAAAAAAAAGGGAAGAGGGAGTAAGAAGCAGACAGGAATGGAATCCCCGTCGATCGAGAAAATGCTAAAATAGTAAGAAGAGGAACAAGAAGTAAGACAACGGTAACTATTCTCAGATGAAGATGAGTGGATGGAAATTGCAGTTTCCTTTCCCCTGCGTAACTCGATGCAATCGCCCTGGTGATTCCGCCAGAATCCATGCAGCAGCAAGCAAATACGAGAGGTCGCATGGGCATCATTTCCTCACCCTCCCTCTTCTCTCTTTCTCTCTCTCTCTCTTGTTTTCCTTTCCTCTTTTTAAACTTATCTCATTCACTCCCAAGAAGCACGTCCTGCATTTTAAAGACAGCAGCCAAGCAAGACCCTTCATTTCCCACCCAAGGTACCACACATTCTTGGCCTTAGCAGAGTGCGGCGGAGATCAGAGACATTCGGGATATCCCCTCTTCTCTAGTGTGTCTCCGGGACTGCTATTCCTGGCTGATTCCTGGCTGGCTTGTCCGGTCCTGGTCTGGTCTGGTTTCTGGCTTTCTCCGCAGCTGCCAGCCGCAATAATCCCAGCGTCAATTCCTCTTTCTCTCTGCATTTCGCAAACTCCCCTTCGTCCATTTCTCCCCTCCCTTATTTTCCTTTTCCCCCCCCCTTTCACTCTTTTTCTTACTCTATTGTGGGTGGTATCTATTCACTCCTTTCTCCTGTTTCCCCCCCTCTCCGCTAGTAGTGGTGCCCGTCCTTACTACTACTATTCCCCTCACCCACCTCTTCCCCCCCTAATTTCTAGACCTTCCGAAAATACATGGGGGAGGAGTGTACCAAGCCGTTTCGCTGGAGACTGGACGTACCCACGCAGGCTGTCGCTTCCCTCAAAGTTGCTCCGTCAGCCAACGCCATCTCCCCCACTCGCTCCCACTTGCTCCCCGACCGGTGCCTCTGGCCTCCCTTTGGGCTGCATCCGCCCTCACGCGAAAACCTCCCCTCGATCAGCAAGCGATCTTAGGGTGGATGAAGCGCGCTGAATCGTGGTTGGCTCGGAACTCGTCAATTTCGTGCCCATCGTGATGTCCACTGCTGCTCCTCCCACTGCGTCACCCTCCGTCGTCCGAAGCCAGTCCATCTCCTCTCGCTCCTCTTCCCATCGTCCTCCTTCATCCGATCTTCCTCACCGAACCCGAAGTGTCGCGGTCCGTCCCGCGACTGCCTCCCAGCCCTCTCCGCAGCATCACCACCATCATCATCATCACCACTCGCAGAATCGCTACTCCCATTCCTACTCCAAGTCTCAGTCCTATGATCGTCGCCCTCCGTCGAACCAAGCCGTCTTTGACAACATAGCCCGTCGCGATTTTGAAGCCTCCAGGGGTGCCCAACCCGCTCCGTTCCGTCGGGACTCCTCAAGGGAGCGTTCACAGGAGCGCCCCTCCACCTCCTACCGTTCAGAACAGCCACCCTCACACAAACAGCACCGGAATCTGTCGGCACACGGTCATCAACGGGATAGCATCGACATGGCTACCGCGGGGCCCATCATGGCGGAGGGCGTTGCGGGACATTCGCAGGCTGCTGCCGGCGCCCATCTGCACCCGACCAACTCCGTACAAACAAAGCGTCGCACGATGATCACAACCCCCTCAGGCCAATGGGCTTTGGGTAAAACACTGGGAGCAGGCAGTATGGGCAAGGTCAAAGTCGGAAAGAACATGGACACTGGAGAGCAGGTAAGTAATATGTCGGTGTCCTTAGGGTTCTTGCCATTTATTTACTAATATCATGCAGGTGGCCGTTAAGATCGTCCCCCGGCAATCGACGGAGGAACACCGCAGCTCCCGCGAAGCCGAAAGAGCTGATCGCTCCAAAGAGATCCGAACCGCCCGCGAAGCGGCCATCGTTAGCCTCGTCAATCATCCGTACATCTGTGGTATGCGAGATGTGGTGCGAACCAATTACCATTGGTACATGTTGTTCGAACTCGTCAATGGGGGTCAGATGTTGGACTACATCATCTCCCACGGCAAGTTGAAAGAGAAGCAGGCTCGGAAGTTCGCCCGTCAGATTGCCAGCGCATTGGATTATTGCCACCGCAATAGCATCGTGCATCGTGACCTGAAGATCGAGAACATCCTGATCAGCAAGACTGGAGACATCAAGATCATCGACTTTGGCCTGAGCAATCTTTTCTCCCCACGGAGCCTTCTCAAGACATTCTGTGGCAGTCTCTACTTCGCAGCTCCGGAATTGCTACAGGCTAGACAATATACCGGTCCGGAGGTGGATGTATGGAGTTTCGGGATTGTGCTCTATGTCCTGGTCTGTGGTAAAGTACCTTTCGACGATCAGAGCATGCCCAAACTTCATGCCAAGATCAAGCAGGGTGTTTTCGAGTACCCGCCCGGCCTCACAACTGGTGAGCTTACCCCTCGCCCTCTTCACCTACGCAATGCTAATGCTTGAGTTGTAGAATGTCGCCATATAATTTCGCGCATGTTGGTAACCGATCCCAAGCAGCGTGCCAGTTTGGCAGAGATAATGAACCACCCATGGATGAACAAGGGTTTCAATGGGCCACCCGACAACTATCTTCCATACCGTGAACCGATACAACTTCCCTTGGATCCGGAGGTCATTGAGAAAATGACTGGTTTTGATTTTGGATCCGCGGATTACATTACATCACAACTTACCAAAATCATTGAGTCGGAGGAGTATCAGCATGCTGTAAAGGCTATGGCTCGTGATCAGCCTCCTCCCAGTCATACCGAGAAGAAGCGTGGTGTGTTCGACTTTTACAAGCGACGAAACTCGGCCAGCAGAGACACACTGTCTGCGCCCTCCGCAGAGGCTGTTCAACTAGGCAACGATCCGGTCAACGCTTATAGTCCCCTTCTGTCGGTTTACTACCTCGTAAAGGAGAAACTTGACCGAGAGCGGGTTGAAGTTAACCCTGGCGCGCTTGGTGTTCCACATGCTAGCGGGGACTCGATGCTCCAGATGCCAGATCTTCCTGCGCCAGAGGCCGCTCACACCAATCAATACCACGTTCCCGGAGAGAAAGATACCGGCAGGAGGTCTCGTCCTAGGGCAAGGACACATGGCGACGATGATCTCAATGATGGTATTAAGAACCTCCATCTGGCCCCGCAAGCCGGGCATTCTCCTGCGCCTCCTGCGTCGCAACCGGAGACTCCGGTGAAGAAGGAGAGCACTGCAGCGGGTATCCTAAGGCGATTCAGTACGAGAAGGACAAAGGAGCGCAGCCGCGACCCGGAACGCGGCAGACTTGGGAGCCCACATACGCCGTCCTTGAATGTCCAACCTCCCGCCGATTCAGCTTCACCTCTTTCCAGAGGGTTTAGCGTCAAGAGAACCCGACGTGCGGACCCGTCGCCGACGGCCGTTCACACGGGGGGTAGTCAACCACAGCACCAGGATCTTCTCAAGGCTCCAGGATCCGCCGAGCCGGCCTCGCGGTCCAACAAGTTCTTGGAGAGATCTGCAAGTGTGAACTCGGCAGACTACCGAGCTCGCCGCTCTCGTAGACATGAAGCGGATACGGCGGCCCAGCCACCTCCCACTAGCGGTTCCGACTTCGCGAACATGCAGAAAGAAACCGCGCCCGGAAAAGAGGCCAAGTTGACCCGCACACATACAGCCCGGACCATGTCTCTGGGTCACGCTCGTCGTGAGAGTATCCAGGCTCGGAGAGCTAGACGGGAGGCAACGCGCGAGGCCAACGTTCCTGAGGAGACCGATGCAGATATATCGGGCGCCGGCACGGCACTTGAAAGTGCCAACGAAGGAGAGGATCTCTCTAAGCCGGTGTACCTCAAGGGACTTTTCAGTGTTTCAACAACCAGCAGCAAACCCCTGCCAGTCATCCGGGCTGATATCATCCGAGTATTGAAACAGCTCTCTGTGGAGTACGTTGAGATCAAGGGCGGCTTTAGCTGTCGCCACGCGCCGAGCATCGACTTGGATAAAGTAGTAGATGTCGGACCCCCAAGCCCAGACCGTCAGGGACAAGTTTCGGGCCATCGTCGTCGCATCAGCTTTGGGGGCTTTTTGAACCACGATGACCGAGACGAATCGCGACACTACACGCCTCGGGGCCAGCGTCGGACTCGGGCTCCACCTGATCAAAGTTTCGTGACAGACTCTGAAGGCCCTGACGAAGATGATGGCTCTCGGGACCACCGTGACAACGTGGTGGTGGGCGAACGTGTCATGGGGGAGACTACGACCCGGGTGCAGAGTGATACGGGCGAGAACTTGGTCCTAAGGTTTGAAATTCTGATCGTCAAGGTGCCGCTGTTCTCGCTGCATGGTATCCAATTCAAGAAGGTTGCAGGCGGTATGTGGCAGTATCGGGAAATGGCCAAGAAAATCCTGGACGCATTAAGACTCTGAGAGTATTGTGAATGGGGCGCCTGCACGCAGATTGCATTTAAATTTACTCGGGCCAGTCGGCTCGAACCATGAGCATTTGCATGAGCATCACGTGTTTCTTTTGTTCCTTTTCCTTATGTTAACTTTCGGTCTGCATAGTCCCTGAGCTGGCTCATCGTCCCCGGTAGCGGTTTGTCGTGGTGTACATTAGAACCGAGCAAGGATGCATCATGGATTTCCGTCAGTTTTCTTCCCCCCCGAGTCTTTCGACCCTTGACCTGTTGTATAATTTTCTGGGCTGTTTTCCTATGTTAGAGTTCTGTCTCTCTACAGGACTATGGAGCGTTACTATACGTAGGAATGTCGGCCCCCTGTTTTCAGTCACATTGAAGGTTATGATATAGGTAGATTTGATGCAAGTCATAATACTTCGGTTCGCTGGCCATCCACGTGTGTCAGCGGTTCAACAACCTACAAAGCATTTACCTACAGTGTAGAGACCTTGATAGGCCGTACTTGGCTGCCCCTGCTGCAGACTAATTTTTAGACTTCTTGTAGCGATTAGCAATTACGATTCCATGGTAGCAGATGCTAGTCGAATATAAAACCTTTCAAGCGTACAGTACCTATTGTTCTGTCAAACCTTGACTCAAATTTCGTGTTGTCTTAGTACTGCATGACTTGGTTTCGCAATTTATACACCTATCTCGGTTGTCCAATTTATACAATAGACTACTCGTATGTAGTCGATCGCTTAAATGCAATGTCACAGACCGACTAAGTTCAAAGCCCAAAGCTCATCTACAAAATATCTAGATCAGGAAGCGGAAGCCAGATTATGCACTTGCCAGTAGCCAGTTGGCCCCTTAGCGTGACGCCGTGGGGTTTAGCTTGGTTAGACTAGAGACGGGGACGCTAAAGAGGTGAAGTATAGGGTGTCGTGTAATGTATAAGCACTACCGCATAGCATCTTGCTCTCAGAACTGGACCAATATGTCATACCTCGAATTGAAGTCTATCAAAGTTTGTACAGTTCTCGGGTCTGAAGAGGACTTACAATTGTCAATTGTCTATAACAACAGTAAACCATGTTTCAAAGATGATTAGTCATGAAGCAGATGACATGCCAAGAAATTAAGCCACTTTCACAAAGAATTAATTAAAGCCAGTTCGAATTGCTGTAATGTCTTCACTAATGCATTTATTTAAATAAAATCTATCAGATATGATTTTCAAAATATTATTCTATATGTTTATTTAATTATTATCACTAATTCTTTAAGTTGTGCTGTATGTGCTGTCTTGATACTAATTTGTCTGCATTTGTTGTTTTGGCAGGGCGGAACTAGGCAAAGATAACAGGATTAGCCCCTTTTATGGTTTCTCTTTCACGACTCACCCTTATTGGTCAGACTAGAATTGCTCGATGCAATTTACCAAGTGTTCTTCTGATATAACAAACCAGCATAACAGTAGAAGTCCAAAATAAAGGGATAATTTAATGCCACTTCTTCTTCATCCTTTTAATTCTTGAAATATTGATTTGTCAGTTATATTTGATATAAATTGTAGTGTTAAATCAGCCAATTCACTGAAACTAAATAATTTATAAATCAGCTGACTTGTAATTTCCTAAAATAGTCTAGTCTTATTTTTGGTTCACTCCTAACTCCAAGACCTGATTTTATTCTAATGATCATCTTCAGCAGCCACCAGGCTCATGTTGTCCTCTATAGGTGTGTCATTCTTGTGGTAGTTTTTTTACGGTTTTACCTATGAATTTACTACTGCTACGAAGCTGAGTACCTGTTGTATCTGCCACCATGGTCATCGATCTTACGGTCGACTCAGACTCAGAGGAGAGAAATGAGGTAAGTGCTCTTTTATGCATTTCCGCCCTTTCAAAATTGTTTGGCGTCGTGTTATTTTGGTGTTGTTCTTGCGGCTAGTTTTCTATCTACTTTTGTATAAGGGAGCGGCTATACTGCATTGCATGGATGTCTGTTGTGCGCACTTATACTAATGCCACAACCACTTACTTAAATTGGAATTTCCTTTCTTTTTTCATTTCTTGTCAAAGAGATTGGAACCTGACAGTCTCGCACTTGTTTTCTTCTCTGTTATATGTTCTTGTGACCTTAACAATTTTGCTTCACTTTATTCACTGCGCAACCTCTGCTATAGTTCGTGAGAGGATCAGCTGACTTGATACATCTAGAATCATGTGCCATCTTCAGCACCACCTCTTCAGAACAACACCCCCAAGTCTCCTTCCACTCTCACCCGCCGCCCTGCGTCCTCAGTTCCCTTGAAAAGGAAATCTGAGGATGCAGAGGAACTGCTGGCATCCTTCCTGCCCCGCCGGCCGCAATCACAGCCGCGGTCTTTTTCCCAACCACAGCCGGCAAACCGGGCCAATCAGCACGCCATCTCTATCGAGATAGAGGATGACGATGATGACGAGGATGTCAAGCCTGTTCAGATTCACCGCAGAGTTACAGCTGCTCGATCCTCCTCCGTTAATCCTAACGCCATCTCCTCTGCTAGTAAGGAAAACAGACCTCTGCAGATCAAGTCTAATGCAACATCTACTCGCTCATCTTCACCCTTCAATCTCACGACCACCAATCACGATCACCGCCGCAGCCAAGACCGGGATGAAGACAGAAAGCAGAGATCCCTCTTAAGCACCAGTCGGTCCATATCATTTCAAACCCCCAGTCCCGGCCCTATCTCTCTCAGCGTAGTAATCCCCTCGCCTTCTCGGCGCCAGCAACAAGAACTCGATTCAGCCGAAGTGATCTCCGTCCCTTCTCCAATTGGCCTCTCCGAGAACTTCTATCCAACCGACGCATATGAGAAACGCGCCTTGAAGGGTGCATACCCTGTCGCCCGAAAAGTCAATCGAGCAGCCATCCCATTCACTATTGGCGCCCCTGGCCCGCTGTTGACTTCTAAGCCGGATATCAGCGCACAGTTGCACCAAACCCTGCAGCAGAAGCTCGCGAAGATCCGAGGCCCCAAAGTAACCTTTGCATCTGGGGACCAGCACCAGCTAGCGCAGTTCGCAGCCAACTTTGAGTTCGTCAATGCATACAAGCTACGACAAGGGGTCACGCCTGTTCCAGAGGAGTTCCTTGCGGGATGTAGCTGTGACGGATTCTGCGATCCGGCAAGATGTCTTTGTCTCAGCAAAGAAGAGGAGACCAATGACCCAATGGTGCCGTATAAGCGGGCCGATGATGATGGGCGATTGTTGGTTCTCACCCCGGAGTTCCTAAAACGAAAAGCCATGATTTACGAGTGTAGTTCGAGATGTGGATGTGATGAGCGGTGCTGGAATCGAGTGGTGCAGAATGGCCGGACGGTACGGCTGGAGATTTTCCAGACCGGTAATCGAGGGTTCGGTATGTCACAGGCCAGATTCCTTTCATAGGTACATATGCTAACCAAGAAAAAAGGCCTTCGCTCCCCCGACCGCATTCGCGCAGGTCAATTCATCGACTGCTACCTCGGGGAGGTCATCACCAAAGAAGTGGCCGACATCCGCGAAGACGTCGCGACATCTCAAAACAGACACTCGTATCTATTCAGTCTCGACTTCCTGGCCACCGGCGAAGACAGTAAATACGTAGTAGACGGACACAAATTCGGTGGTCCAACGCGATTCATGAATCACTCATGCAACCCTAACTGTCGCATGATTACCGTGACCCGCAACCACGCTGACGATTACCTGTACGACTTGGCTTTCTTCGCTTTTAAAGATGTGCCACCTATGACGGAACTGACCTTTGATTATAATCCCGGCTGGGAGAAAGTCAAGAAAGTTGATCCGAATGCCGTGCCTTGCCTTTGTGGGGAGAGTAATTGTCGAGGTCAGCTTTGGCCGAATCAGAGGAAGGCGAAGAGGGGGTGATTCTTCTCCTTCAATTCCTTTCTCTATGCGGATTTTCTTTTGACGTACTCTTCGTTGACTTCATATTATGATATGATATCATATGCCATTTCATGGGAGTGCGCGTTAAGTTGATGAACTGCATGTCTGGAATTTCTCGAGGAGGTCAGGTACATGCGATCATCGTTATCATATGGGAGTTGGGCATCTTTCTTGCGTTCTTGCCTTGCCTTGCATCATCTGTTATCTCTGGGGAAACGGTTCAAAAGCCTCGGTGTCTTTCGAAACTCTTGCATGTGAATTTCTTCGTCTCGATATCAGATACCCCGGTGGATTCAATTACATTGTCTTTCTTCTTCTTCTTCTTTCCCCTTTACTTTCTATTTGCGACTTTATGGAGATTCCGTATACACAGGTGGCTTTAGATAAGCAAGAAGCGGGTGTGCTCATTTTTATTTTACATGGAGTCGGTCATTCCTTGTTCTAATTCATGCTCAGAGCAAAGAAAGGACAGGTGGACAAAAACTAGCAAGTTGAGGAAAGAAGAAATGTTCATTATGTATGCTAGCCTGCAACTTATGCAGTGCATTGACCTGAATGATATGTTCATAGCAGGAGAAGAATCAGATAATCAGATTCACTCAGAATAATTATCAAACCATAAGAAAGTAAAACAAAGTATCAAGCAAGCACATAACAGAACCCTCTAAACAATGAAAATGCCAAAGTAAAACTCCACCCCATCCCATCCCATCCAATAATCAAATAAATCACAATTCACCAAGGTATCCCAGAATCACAAATCGCTCAATCCCGACGAAAACAATCCCAATACTCCATCCCAAACCCCCATTGACAAGTAATTAAAATCGAATAAAAGATTCACCCTCTCCCTTCCATAACCTCAAAAATCCCCCCCATCACAAACCTCGGCTGGACACTACTCCTCTCCAACACCCCGCCATCCAACCCATCCCCACCAAAAACACTCGCATCCATACTATCCAACGCAAACCCGACCCCCAACAACGGATCCACGGGCCTCGGCTCCATCAGATCCAATCCCAGACGCTCAATCTTATCCTCATCGGCACGGGATCGCTCCTCGGACAAGGCCAAATCGACCTTGGAGGGTCTCCGCCGCAGCAGCATCATCGACATGGACGAGGGACGATGATGGTGGTGGTAGTACCGGAAGGGACTTTGGCTGCGGCTGCGACTTCGGCAGTAGTAGTCTTGTTGGCCATAGTCGGAGAGAGAGGTGCTGTTGAGGCTGCCGATAGCGTGGTGGTTGTTGAAGCGACGGCGGGGGACGGGCGACGAGGTGGGCGAGGAAGTGGGACTGGCGGTTGTGGAGCTGAGTGGAGTTGGGGTGGTGGATGGAATGGAGAGAGTGACGGAGAGGGATGGGGAGGATGGACCGCCGCCGGGATTAATAGTATTTGAGGATGGAGGATGTGGATGGGGTGGGATTATGGTTGATGTTGTTGTTGTGGTGGTGGTAGAGGTGGACATTTTGGTGTTGCGGTCGGATGGTGATGATGATGATGAAGGGAAAGAAGTGTGGAGGTGGAGGGGGGTGGGTTGGTTAGGGCGCATATTGGTTGATTGTTTGAAGATGAGGAGGATAGATCAGATTGGAACTGAGGATGTCTGGGGGGTGGGAAGGAAGAGACAATAAAGTAAAAAGGTAAGATGGGATAATAAAATGAGATGATGTCAGGTGCGCGCGGGCTGACCGACAATATGAATAATAAAGTAATTAAGATTGACAGATAAAATCAATGTATGGATGAGATTTGATTTGATTGAATTCAATAGAATGAGACTCGGAGGGAAAATTGGATCGAGTCAGGTGGTCGGTCTCGTTTTACTCGGGTTTCGCCTCACCAAAAGCAAAGCAAAGCAAGCAAAGAGAACTTTCAAAAGTATGTGGGGAGACAAATAACGAGATCTCAGTTTAGGATCAGGTCAGGTACAATAATATCAGAAGCAAATAATAAGTTAGTCACTGAAGAGTTGAATGACGACAATAACGTCAGAGGAAGGAGTCACGCCTCATTGCAGCATCAATAACAAGAAGCAGCTAGAAGTAACTAGAGCAGCAGGCAGGCCGACGGAGTAGTTTAAACCTTCTTATAACCCAAGCCCAGCAGGGGCCCCCCCATTTGCATCCACATCATTTCAAGAACGAAAAGGAACCCCGAGCCAGCCTTGAATCAACAAAAGCGGCAGGCAAGGAAGGAGAAAAAGGGAAAGGAATTAAGTGTAAACTAGACGGGGTTAAGATGATTGAACGAGGGCGTCCAGCAAGTCGCCGAACGCAGTGACTTTCCTTGCCCCCTCGTTGCTGCATCCGGCCATCTCAACTACTATCTTATCCCTTCCGATGTGCCTCCTGCTTTGGCTTACATTCTTCCCCTTCTTTTCCGCCTGCGGCCGTCTCTTTTTTTCTCCTTCCCTGTCTTTCATCCTTAAACAGACGTACGACTGGAGATAACATACGTGTTCGTGTCGGCTCTCTCCCTGCATCCTGATTTCAAAAACCCAACCTTCATCGTTGCCCAATCCGGTAATGCCAAGCATCCTGGGAAGGAAAGTTCATTGCTGAAAATCACCAATCAATCATCATTGATCTATTCCTCTCTCTGTGTCTACTTTCTAGCTAGAAAAGAAATAAACTGTACACATACACATACACATGATGCAAACGCATGGATGAACTGACCTGCGCTCGGAACCAAGTAACGCAGTGGATTTCGCCCACACGCCCCCGCTATGCAAAACATCTAGTCTCGTAGCGATCAACAACACACACTCTCTCTTTCTCTACCTCATCCACATCATCCCCCATACTTCAGTCACTGACAGATCACACAGACCGGCAAATGGATCACCCAAAAAAACAATAGACAGACAGACAGTAGATGATGGAAGCATCGTAACATCGGGAACGGCACGGCAAATAAGTAAGAGGAAAGGGATAAAAGCAAGACACGCCAAAAAACAGGAGTAAACCAAGAAATGGAAATGAGAGTCAACCAAGAAACAAAGCCAAGGGTGAAGATTTGAAATCATCCCCATGTTCACATCTCTAATCAAAAAGGGTAATAACCAAGATCGTGGCAACATCGCTCATATATCAACCAACTCATCTATTCCCTCACTCACCCGATCGCCGTCGCTGTGTAAAGCTGCGTCGGATACTCTCTCCCCATACCGACTCGCCCAGCGACTGCATCACATCGTTGACGTTCATCGCGCTATTCTGCCGCGAATGCGCTGGGCTTGCCTGCTCATCATGCACATCACCTCCGCTGCCGTACGACGACGTCGTGCCGGCTCGCTCCCGCAGAGGCGACAGCGATGGGCTGATGCTGGACCATTCCGTCGACGGGGAGTTCAGGACAGAGATCCGACCCAGCGGACTGGTATCGATGGGTGGCAGCTGGTACCGGGTGGCTCGCCCGGTCGGGGACGTCGGGGACAGCATCGGCTGCTGCGACGATTCTTCTCCGGTAAGCGCGTCGCGTGCTTGTTCTCGTGGCCCCTCGACCGCCGCCGGTTCATCGTGAGATCCGTCATCAATAAAGATCTCCGGCACCGAGAACTGAGGAACACCACTCATCCGGGCCGATTTCTTATGCTCAACCCGACGCCGGAACTCGCGAGACCAGTAAAGTGTGTCAAAGAAGCCGATCACCGTCTGCCGACGGATGGTTTCCTCGACGCGCTGCAGTCGCGCCCGTCTGCGCAGGAACTCTTCCAGTCGCAGACTCTTGCTGTCGCTGATCACGTTGTAATGGGCCAGGATCATGAGACAGGAGTGGAACGAGATGCCGCGCACCGGGTCCGCCGACACAAGCACCTCCTCATAGAACGCATTCAGCCGTTGCCGGCGGTTGCGCACCACGTCCGTTGGGATCTGTCGAAGGATTCGTGCCATCTTGTCCAAGTCCAGCCCGTCGACCACTCTGCGATGGGCAAGCAGCGAGTCGCGCTTGTCCACCCGGCACTCTTCCATGATTTGGCCAATAGTGAACTCACCATCGTAAATCCGCATCGAAAACACCCCCGAGAGCTCTCCCAGCAGTCGCGGGAACTGTTCTTTGGTGATATACCCGGTTCCGTCCGGGTCATATGTAGCCCACGCATGCTTGAAACGGCGGATATCCTCGCGGCTGATCGCATAGAGCCCACTGCTCTTCTGGTACACGTAGGAGAAGCTCTCGAAGATCAAGGACGTGAACAGTGAGACGAAGAGATACATGCTGATAATATTCCAAGCAATGAACAGCGTCCGAGCCCATGGCGCACTGCCACAGTCATCTAAGAAAAAGTTGCCATCGTAGGTGCACATCGGAGGACTCATCGTGGCATAATCTTCCATGATCTCGTTCCAGCCTTCTCCGCAACTCATCCGGAAGAGCAACACCAGCGCCTTGGGAACATCGCGGAAGTTGAGGTTGTCGGTCTCTTGTGAACCAAACTTCGTGAGACCAAAGGCTTGGTTCATGGCGATCGCGAACACCAGGAAGAGGACAAACCAGGTGGCGATGAGGTTTCCGATCGACGTCAGACTAGCTGCGGCGGTTTTGAACAGCTGGTCAAGCTGGTTGTTCCGGGGTATAATAAGAAGAGTGATCGAGACCAGGAAGAGCTTGTTCAGCTCGTTGATCACCTGGCTAGTTGAGACGAATCTCAAAATCGTGGTTATGAACGTCCCGGAGACAGAGAGCAACGAATACACATCCCATGAACTCCGGCTAAACCGGTGCCAACCCAAGCCAAGCATCCGGATCAGAACATTGGCAATGTAGACAAAGTTGAAGGCAAAGAATATTATCTCTGTACTAAATTAGCGGGAACAAGCTCGTCTGCAAGGCCATAGGAAGAACTACTCACCTCGGGTCTGATCCCATACCTCCGGCTCGGGATAGTATTCCAAAACCAGCAACAACAGATGGAGTGTAAGGATGAATGTCACGCATCTTGCCCATGGGCCATGTTTCTTTACGGCGACTCGGTAACTCCACATCTTCCATTGTCGGCTCTTATTGTCAAAAGAGCGCTTTGAAGGGGAGATTTGCCGGAGCAACTTTCTCAGTTCCAGCCACGATCGCTGTTCAGCAGTAAGATACGCAACACCAGTCTCTTCTGTGTAGTTCCGCATGAACACAGATACGAACAGCGTCAGCACGAAGACGGCACCAAGCAGGTTGAAAATGATAAAGAAGAGCCCATTCTCCGGCGCAACGTAGTCCTGCGGCTGCATATCCACACCAGTAATACTCATAGCACTATCCTGCACGTCGATCCAGCCTTCTTGAGAGACAATTTGGAACAGAATGAAGAGGGAATCGCCAAAGTTGTCAAAGTCGTAGTAAGAATTGTCGGCCACTCGCGGAGAAAGAACATCCCAATTGAAAGGCGTGTTCTTGTACTCACCAATGCACTGATCCAGGCTTCCTGAAATGTCGCCATCATTGCATGATACCATTCGTCCAGCGAATAGATTTACTCCATAGATAGCGAAGGGGATCAAAAAGCTCATCGAAACAGCCGCGGCCTGCCAAGCGCATCAGATTCTGCCTCTAGGGGGCTCAACAGGGGCGGGACTTACAGCAATGACCTTCCATCCTCCAACAATGATCACTGAATGGAAAGTATTCTTAGCGCTATCACTGACATTCAAGAGCCTCAAAGCCCTAAGAGCCTTGAAAGCTCCAATCGCTCGGGTAACGCCCCAATCTTCGAACAGGGATCCACCGACGCTGATCCAGAGCGTGATCAAAACCACTCCATCAAGAAAGCCCCAGGAACCGCGAAAGTACGCATTAGGCGTCCAGAAAAACCCATCCGCTATAACTTTGATGATAGCTTCTATGGTGAACAAGACCGCGAAGCCCATGTCAGTGTAGGTAAACCAATCCCTGTTCGTCGTAAAGTGATTCTTCTGGTAGATTGGTGTGGTTATGCAGGCCAGCAACACCATTGCGACGATGGCCGCGTAAATAAACGCGGAAAATGCATACCAGACAGGCTTGTAGGGGTCTACACCCTCCACTCGTTGAACTCCACGCCCCGGCCCCACGATACGCTGGCATAGCTTCCGAACGGGGTGGTTTGGCGCAAAGATAAACAGCGACTTGTTGTAATTTGGGTGTCGCATGAGATACTCTCGTTGGGCCCTTTTCCTCTGCTCAGCTGCTGAAACAAATTCCTTGGCCATCGTCCTTGGGTCTAGCTCATCAAATGTACGCGGGATATCCAGCTTGGAGTAGAAAGGGTTCGGCTCTCGACGCATGATCGACGTGGTGAACTTCGTCCAGATCCGCGAGAAGAATCCTGGCTGAGCTGTCTCGGCCGTGGCCGACTGTTCTAATGGGACGTTGTCTCCTGGCCGATGCTCGGGTGGTTCATCCTCATCAAGGAACTCCTGGACGACAGCATCCTTGAGTAACATCTCCAGTGCCGCTGGGCCGTGGTCAAGAGGGTCCTTATACCGGTTCGAGTCCTTGCCCAGCTTAAAAATCTTGGAAAGAGACAAGTTCCCCTGCGAGGCCATGCTAACTTGTTTCTGCTGCAAGAACGCTTTGACCTGCTGAAGCCGTTTTTCATCCTCCGAGACATCAAAGCTTTCCTGGATGACAGCAATGAACATGTTCAGGACAATGAAGTTGGCCAGGATAAACCATAATATTAAGAAAGCCGCAGAGATCCAAGCTGTATTGTATGACACTGTGTACGTGGTAGCGTTATACAAGATGTCCGTCCAATTTTCGCTCGACAAGATTTGATACATCCCGAGAAAAGAGTTGTAGATGTCGGAAAAGGTGATGATTATGGTATCGCCGTCTGCGTCTTCCTCTGGAATCTGGCCACGGAAGAGCTGAGTTGCGAAAATGGAAGCAAGGAAGGTAATCAGAAAGACAAAGAAG